AGCTCAATTCACGTAAAGTCCTTAAAATGAATTTCTTCCACGAAAATAGCCCAAGACGATGCTTTTATACTTCACTTGCCACTCGTGAAATTTGAAAAATCAATTTAAATGAATTGCCCACACATCAAACATCATTTCATTCTCAAACTTCTTTCCCATTATCTAATGAAATTCTTAATAAAACTTATTTGCAATTCAAAGGAAATCAATTAAGCGTAAACTCAATAAATTCACAAGTTCGAAATTGTAATGATACGAGGTCAGCTGCAACATTCATACCAATCTCCGCCGGATATTCCGTATATTCCGGATATTCAGACATCTTAAGCCTTAGTTCAAGCAGCTTAATACAAATCTTTAAGCCTAACTTCATACATATTCATTAATTAACTAAGCTGTTGAACTTAGCGTAGGTAAGCGTGTTATCCTTTTCTAAACTTGCTTCGTATTACAGCGTCCTGTTTAATTACCCAAATCCCCAGTGAAACATAAGCACTAATTAACGCTACGCTTAAGCCTCAGCTACTTACCCAGCAGGTCTTTGGCAATTGTATTTAAAAATGAAAATCTTCTTTGCACTTTGCGCTTGCACCTTTCACTTGCGGCTCACTTACTGCATCAGCAGAACTTTGCCTTGGGCCACTCAGAAAATACTTTAAAGTGTGTGTGTTTTTTTTTTGGTTTTGCCACGAATCACGTGCACCGTTATGCACTTTGCCGGCAATTGTTTAGCCGTAACGCTAGATCAGCGCTTTTTACTTGGCGCTCAAAAGTAGGCAACGGTTTTTGTTATGCCTTTACGTTCAATCTCTTGCGCACACACATACACCGATAGCTGCTGCTGCTGCTGCTGTTGCTGCTGTGTTGGCAACGCGTACGAAACGGCAACTGTTTTGCGTTTTATCAGCGCGCCAGTATTTAAGGACAGAATGCGAAAGCTTTCGACGCGGAGCTTTCACGAGAGCGCACTCGTCTGCTTTCGACCAATGCTGGCATCCGTTTCGACCAATTTGCTATTGGCCATTTGGCCGCTCGATTGCTGTTTGCCGCCAATTGTTTTGAAGGCACACAGAGTCGAAGCCAAAGGCAGACCAACGCATGGTTTATTTATGGCTTCATTCCTCACCAGAGCAGCCCGACGTATCCTTTTTTCTGTGCATAGGTATACCCGTCTAATGGACGAAGGCGAGCGCAAGAAAAACTGCATGCAAATCATTTGCTTCTCATAATTTATGGGCCACCGTCAGCCAAGCAAATAAACTGCAATCTATCTTGGACTACTCGTGTGGTTCTTGGCTGCAAGTGTAGTTTCGATAAGTTCCTTTTACGGGGCATACTATATTAGGGCTCAACTTTGCACCTGTACAAGGTACAGAGTAGTACTTGCGTAAGCGTAAGAGATGGCTTTTCAAATAATACTGCGTGCATATTGTATAATAGGAATTCACATCCTGCAATACCTTGACTGCTAACAATCATTGAACTCTGTCAGGAAGTGCATTGAAATGTCTATACAAAAGTCAACATTTGAACGTTTTTATTTTTTTTTTTGCCTGAAAAGGGATGCGGAAACGGAAATGCCAGCAATAGTACTTGTAAAAAGGGCAGGCCAATGTGGCTGCTGGGCACTTGGGGGACCCGAGCGTGGACCACGTTCCTCAGCACCGTGTTTTGCTTCTTTGTGTATTTGTTATATGCAAATGCAGGAACCCTGTGGAAAAAGCAAATATAAATATCGATTAGACAATCACCAACTATCTGACAGGCTGACAAGGACTCAAAGGCGGCATTGAACTTGTCTACGCAGTATACTGCCCGCTCACCTGCCGCTGCTGCCATTCAACTTGCATGTCGTTCTCAAAAAGTTGCGCTAACCTTTGCATGATTTAATTATTTGTAGCATACTTTTGTGCGCCGACCAAAAACTTCACACCTGAATGCACAGCAGCTGCCCTCGGGCATTTGCTGAGTGCTGTGAAACTTTGCCACTTTTGCATTCACAGCTTTGTGCGTATGTGTGGGTGTGTGCGTGTGTGTGTGGTAATGACCGTAGCGCTAGTGCTAGTTGTTGGAAAAGTTTGCAAGGGTTCTCAGCTTGCGGTTTTTTTGTTTTTTGTTGTTGTTTTTTTTTTGGGTTTCGAAATGAATGTCTCAATTCATTTTACGCTACACTGCGTCCCAAGTGGAGCGAGCCATGCAAAAAGGACTGCGGGCTTGGGTTCACATTCAGATTCAGTTTCGGTTGTGTCAGGGCGAATGTTTGTGGAGCGGGAGTCGATGGCGAAAAGTGCAAGCGTCGCAGAACAATCTTCGCCGCTCAGCATCATTACAATTTGTTGATTTGCTTCGTTAAACAGCAAACAACAGCCGCAGCAAAAAATAAGGAAAAAAACAAAGAAAGGCACGCGAAAGGATAAAGTTGAAGTAAAGACGACGACAATAGCGTTGACGGCTTGCCAGGAGCAACAGCAGCAGCAGCAGTAGCAGCAGCGGGAGCATAAGAAGTTGAAAACACCAGCATTCACCCAGAGGCAATGATGGCTCCGGCCACTGGCTGCTCTTTGTAGTTATTACTCCCAGTTTCTGTGTATACCCTGTAAGCAGGAATTTGTTAAAAGAGGGTATAATGTTTGCGTATGCCATAGGAAGTCTATATACACCTGATTCATTTCCATGTTTATCTCTTTGATTGTTTTTGGAAAACGTTATCCCAGCTGCGCTCAGAGTACAGGGTATCTCTTGCTTCCTTACGCTCGACTTGTTCGCTCTGACATGTTCATTTTGGTATTTAAAAAGCATTGCATTGCTCCCTATTTGCTAAGAAAAGAAAAAACAAAATAATATGTGACATGGGGCTCCGCTCTGCTCTGCCCTGCTCTGCTTTGCTTTGCTTCTGCGAGGCGTTGATGGCGGCGACGACGTAGAAGACTCCAGCATCAAAGGCAGCGCCTTGAGCCCTAAAATCCACGATGCGCGCTGTTGTAGCCACTGGCTATGTGTATAGAAGGCAGCGGCAGCTAAGGAAGCTGCAGATTGGTGGCAGTTTGCCAAAGCAATCATTGCTGTCAGACGAAAACAAGAGAAATATGTAAGTTAAAAGCGAAGATGGCAATGTGGCGGTGGCGGTGGCGGTGGCGGTGGCGGTGGCTGTGGCTGCTGCTCGAGGAGGCAAACAAAGCCGTGAACTTGTGAGTGGGAAAACAATTTAGTAATATTTTTCTTGGCCAGTTGAAAGTATTTGTATTAAAATAAAGTTCTGTGTAAGCGCCAAGAGATTTCATTTCAGTTTTGCATTTCTTTAAGCTTGGCAAATGAATGTGAAGCTCGCTTCAGTATGATTTAATTATATTCAATTTGCAATTTATTCTCTTCGCATTTTTCACATTTAAACACTCTTTAACTCTCTATTAATTTGAAAGCCCTTCACTTTGCTTGCCTCTTGCTCAGTATCATTTTTAAATGGTTTTATTTCTAAATCTTTTTTATCAGCAGCTGCTTGCCTCGTCGTTGACCCTCTGCCACACACAATTAGATTTATTTGCAAATTATAACTTAAATTGCCACATGGCCAGGCCGATGTTTTTATATTTTTTATGGCCGGCACCCTCGAAGGGGGCGCCGCAACTTGTGCCAGGCAAACGTTTAAAGTTGCCAGTTGCCAGTTGAAAATAATTCAAAGCATACTTTCAGGCGGCGATTATAATTCACATTTAATTTGTGCCCACTTCATTCGGTCGATGGGTTTATCAAGCAAAAAAGGCCCATCAAATTAGTTAGCGGATGTGCGGCTGATCTCAATTATGTTGGCATTTATTTAGTTAATTACATTTTCATGAGGATTCTGGCCATAATCACGGTTTAATTATGAATATAATCGCAGCTGTTGGATAATTATTCACAGTTGCGTCAGCCTAATCAAAGTATATTCCACGTTGATTAGAAATTTCACGACTAGCTTTCAGATCGCTTGCTATATGTTGAGTGCTGTCGACCGCTGGGTGGTGGCTCGCTCGAGTTACGATTGGCCCGATGAGCTGGTGTAGATCTTAAGTGTCAAACGCATCGAAAGGCGATAGACTTGTTAATTGGTTTGTCGTGTAGCAAAAGCACTTAGCGCTGCTAGAAATGAGAGGAAAATATGAATTCAAATGAATCGAATTGGAAGCGCCCCAATCCGGAAGTGTATTGTGGACAATCAATTGGAAGCTATAAAGTAAATGTTACATTTTTAATTTTTCGTTTTAGTTGAGAGAGTCAGATAGAATGAGTTATTACTGAACAATAAAATTAAGTATTAAAAATAAGCTGACTTTTTAAGTCAAAGTTTTATTTTAATCGCAATATAAATATTTATATTTAAATGTAAGCATTGAAATTGAGTGACAATTTGTATTCTCCGCTACAAACTAAATGTTGTCAGGCTTATCTGCGGATCGCAGCGGTATCAGCTGGCAGGGCTATACTGGGTTAACTAAATATGAATCACAAATATCAGGTTTTGTCGCTATGAACTATATAATACATTACTTCATATATAATCTATGCGAAATTGGGTTTATCTGTTGCCAAATATAATATGTAAATATAATAAATACTTAACACAGAGCCGTGAGATTTAACAAGCATTCACCAATGGCAGCGAATGATGCTACAATGCGTGGCAGCAAATAGCTTTATGAGCTTAACGCGCCCCTTTGCTCATTTTACATTTTTTCGTCTTTACTCAGAGATATTGCCAAAAGGGCGATTCGCACAAGTCTAAACGATTTCTGCAACAAATTCATCAATCTGCCATTTCGACTCTACCTCAATTCGCCAATTTCACAAGTTACCAATACGGTGCTGTAACAACGTCAGCGGTAAGTGCTATTATTATTAATATTGTTGTTGTTGTTGTTATTGTTGCTGGTGCTGTTTTTGGCTGGGCGCATAATATTTTGGTTCGTGATCGGCATTGGACTGAGCGAAAATTTTGTTTGAGTTCAGTTTGTGGCCAGCGCGCGAGCTAACGACACACGGCGCGGCAAATCGAATCGCTAGAGTGAGACAGTGCTTAATTGTAAGAGTGAGAGCGGAAATGTAATTCGAAAAAACATTTTCAAAACAAAACAAATTTCAATACGAGCAGTTCGAGCCGGTTCAAGGGGCAGTTGGGATTTCGTACAATTCAATAAAATTAATTCAATTTATTTTGCACTAAAAAAACAATCAATTCATATTGCTAAACAATTGTCTGTATTGCAAATTTTTTCAAATATTAATTGAAAATTAATTAAAATGTGTCATGCTTTTGTCTGCAATTAAACGTCAATTGCAAAAAGCATGCAAATAAATAATTGTTAAGCTGGATGAGCTTTGTTCGACACGAGTGTTGATGGCCAAGGTCAATGAAATGTGCCATTGGCAACTCTATGAGGGGAGAGACTAGGAGAGAGTTGGTAAACTTAATTGTGCATTTGAGCATGTAATAACGATGATGAATAGCTAATGATGAGATTTGCAATTTTATATAATTAGAACTGTTATAGCTCAAGCCAATTGATTGTTGCGTATTAAAAGTGTTCAATGCAATAGGTGAGATTTGTAAAATTAGAATTTTTGCTAGCTCAGATATCTGGTTGAATACGACTATAATATGTATGTGCATTAACAATTGATCGAAGGCAATTATTTTGACTTATAAGAATTCTGAACAACTTTTTGTAGTACAGCAATTTTGTAGCGTGAAAACGTGCAAGAATGCAGTTGACTTGAAAGAATAAATCTTTTGGGGAAAATATGTAATAAAATATATTTATAAAATATAAATAATTAAAATAAAATTTATTAATATAAATAATAAATAAAATATCAATGATAAAAAATAAAATAAATAATATAAAATATTTAAAAATTATCATATATTCAAACAGCTTTCTCGAACTAAAATTACAGATTTTGTTGTTAAAAGAAGTTAAAGTTTTAATACATTTTTGTAGCCTGTTAAATAACTAAGTTAATTACAGCTGCCTTGACATTTTTATAATAATAATATGAATAAAATAGTTAAGAACGTTGAAGTCGTTCGACTGGAAAGTTGCAAAAAATATGCGAAATATTTACTGCTCTACTGAGTAGAAAACTTTAAGCCAGCAGCAATAGTGGTCAAATGCATAGCGTTCACACAGACAGACGAACGGACAAGCAAGACAAACATTGCACAAAACCAATATGCTTTTAAATAATCTTATTCTTCTTTTTTTCATTTCTCGCTCTTGATTTAATACATAGTATAATGTATTTATTTATTTGCTAAAATAAAATTCCCTTGAATTTCGTTTAAAGAAAATCCTCAAATTTATATGCACAATGTTGTGCGTGAGAGAGAGAGAATCGAAATTTTATTGCGTGGAATATTTTGTGATTTCGATTACCGCTGCGAATAACTTTTCCTCAAGTACAAAGAACAAACAATTGCTAAGCATATTGCTTGCTGCTGTTGAATGGGTATTTATAATTTTATTTTATTTGCTGCATTTTTTTTCTTACATTTTCTTTGAGCTGTTTCTGTTGGCCATGTCTGAGGTCGTGTATCGTCTTTATTTTCCGTATGTTTTGTCTCTCTCGTGTGAGTGTTTGTTATTTGAGATATTTGAAAGCCTCGAGTAGCGCTCAAGTGGTTGCCACACAGCGAGGGGCAGCAGCCGTGGCCAGGGACAAACTGGCGACTCGAACATTTGTCATGGGTTTTTTCTTTCATCTTCGGCTCGACTCGGTTTGGCTCTTCAAAGCCTAACTATCTCATTGAAATAAAGGTGTACTTTAGCTTCAACTGGTTGCACTAAGCAAGCAAAACAAATGAAGTAGTCTTTCGCAGTTTTTAAAGTTTGTTAACTTATTTCATTTACACGTTAAGTGGGCCAAAAGCGGATTGCAAAACTTTTCCAACTTGGCGTATGAAAAATCTCTTCAAATTTTTACAAGCTCTTTGGCAACTTCTATTGTTGCTTAAAACTTGCACAAGGATTATTATTTTCATCTTTTACATTTATTTTGCTCCATTTTGTCAGTAATTGCAATTTTGTGTCTCGTCATTTATCTGCTTTATTTATTCTCCTCAGCTCTGCGGGTTGCAGAAAATAAATTATATTTTCTGAAATATGTCAAGCTCGATATATCAAATTTGAGTTGTCATATCTAAGCAAATATGGCTAATTTCATCAATTTTCTAATAATAATTATCATGCTGTCATAACATAGATAAGCTATGATTGTCGAAGCATATGTTGAATAAAAAAAATAATTTAAATAGAACAAAATATATTATTTCGGTTTTGAATTTTAAAAATGTCTCTAAAATTAATTAAATTATTAATTAAAATATTTTATTATTTAAAAAAAGATTTTTTGCTCACTAAAATTTACTTTTATGAGAAACTCTTTAAAAGAAAGAGTATATTTAAAATTTGATGGCTAATCTTAAGTTCATAAATTAATTTCGTTGTTGTTGTTGTTTATTGCGTGAATTGACCATTTGCGATCTGTTAAAAATTTGATTTTTATGACGTTTATCCGACAGGCTTCGTTTACGCACTAAAAAATGTGCTAAATGACAAATTCAAATTCGAGTTCTATGCTAATTGCTTAACAAAAGCATATGAAATATGTTATGGAGTTGTTGTAAATTAATTATAGAAAATTGATTAGCAATTTCGTAAGCAACTGGTGAAATTAATATATATGTACATACATATATATAGAGAGACAAAAAAGGTCGATTTTATTTCCATGCAACGAAATTTTGTGCAGAGCTTTTGGCACGTCTCTGGCAGCTGCTCTGAAGGTCGCCGGCTGAGTGGAAATAAATAATTTTTTTTATGTATTTGCTGTTGGTTTTTGCTGGATTTTGATACTGCAACAGTTGGTTTTTTTAATTATGGCAAATGACTCGAGTGCCGGTTAACACGGACGACAAAAGCAACAATTGCTTACATAACCAGGCAGACAAGCAAAAATATACTCACGCCTCAGCCATAGGCATGGCCATGTATACATAACTGTGTACATACATATATCTGAGCAAAACGTTTTTAGTATGCCCGGTCGCATGTTGATTATGTTTTCGAAACCAGTTTTTGGGGTGCCATCAGTCAGTTGGCACACTCTCCAGCTCGCTCGCTTCACTCTCACTCTCTCTTAGTCTCTATCTGCATTTCCATTTCTTTCTCCAGCTGAATCTTGTATGCTCTTTAGTGTGTCGACCTAGACCAAGTCACGTGCCTGCTTATAGCATCAACAAATTCAGCTACGCTTATGATTTGCATTTTAAATATGGCTAAAGGTATTTTGAGCATTGTAGCTAGGCTAGTAACGCTCTGCTGAGGATGAAGACAACAGTTTAAATACGCACTGAACGGTTACTTGAGTGACTCTTATCCAATTACCAAGTACAGCTGATAGGGAAAGCTTGTCACATTCACTCGTTATTCCCATTTCAAATATACAATTAATTTCAATTGATCGATGTTCCTATAGGAGTTATCTCTAAGCAGGCACATGAGCTGATTGCTATTGACATTTGGACTCTGATGGCATTACACATAAATCACTTCCGATATTTAAAGCTTATCAATTTTCTCACAGCGCTCACAAATTAAAGTGGAATTTATAGCAAATCACTGACTAGACTAATGAAGAAGTTGCCAAACTCAAGCACCTTGTTCGACCACATTTAATCAAACGAAAAATAGATAAGATTCCGAATTACGAAGGGGATTTAATTTTAGTTTTTATGCGAACTCACTCAAATGATTTCTGAATCATATTTGATTTATGTTTTATATTTGTAATATGATTCACTTGAAGTGTGTGCAGTATAAAGGGCATTCGCTAGTCGCTCAAGCAGACATCATAGATTGTCTGTGACAAGTTGGCGCCAAGCTATTGACCTGTCTTTAATATTGTATAATGTAAGCATAACAAATGATTTTTATCCCATTCTCCTTCATGAATACTATATCTAAGATCACATGACCACATGAAATAAAAACATATTGAAACGCTCGACTGTTTCTTAGTCAATTTGAGCAATTCACTTGGTTCGCATCGAATGTGAAGAGTTGCAAAAATAATCAGAAATAAGATTAAGTTTAAAGAGCTAAAAAATATACAAATTGAGTTGAATTGAAAGTGAAATTTCTTCTAAGAAATTTGGAAATTTCTAAGGAAATCGCCAAGGTTCATTGCCTACATTTGAATATCTCACATGTCTAGACATTTGTTTAGCATCAGTTAACGGAAACAGATTAATTATCAATTGTTTAGACTGTACTACCTCGAACTCTCGCACGTGATCTCAATGGATTGACTAAGCAGTTCCTTTTTGAATTTGTGTTTCGCTTTAGGTAATTGGCATTGCCGTCTCTAGTTAACTCAACACTTTCTCCGGTGGAAGCGGATGCGGGTGCTTAACAGATTGCGCAAACTTTGAGATACATTTATGAGTGCTAACAAAACGGCAAAAGGCAAAAGGCAGCCTCGTTCGCCGGAAGAGTAGACGCATCTGTTCACAGACAGTCGCACAGTTTTGTTTCAGTGATAAAATGTGAAGTGCGGCAACTGAAGTGAAACAAAGTTGAGAAAAGAAAAAGAAGTAAAAACACTAAACATAAAAGCAGCACAAGTCAGCTGCAAAGCCGCCAGCTTAAAACTTGCCCTAGTTCGAATTTATCATAAATTTACGCACACATAAAATAGTAAAATATGAGTTCCCCCGAGGACTTTGAGATGCTGCGGCTGCAGGAGCAGCAGGAGCAAGTCAAACTGGAACGGGAATTGCAACAGAATCACACCATCAGTATGCACAGCCATCCCAGGCTCTCAGAGTATTATACATGTGAGTAAAGAAAAAACGCCAATGTCTACATAAATCAAACTAAGTTGAAGTTAAAGTCGCTTAAAATATTAGTCATATTTCTAATAACTATTGAACTAAGCTGACAACAATGACTGTGCTTAATTGATTTACCTTCTCTAGATTATTTATGGCTAGGTAATTTTTGGCTGGTTAACATGTAGATAAGCCATCTTAACAGCGCATCAATGTTATATTATAATTATCTCTTATGCCCAACTCCTCTATATATGACAGCCATCCCAGGCTCTCAGAGTATTATACATGAGAGTAAAAGAAAAACGCCAATGTACATAAATCAATCTTAGTTAAGAAGTTAAAGTTTTTTAAAATATTTGTCATATTTCAATATCAAATGAGTCTTAAATAAAGAATGATACTGCTAATTGGTGTCAGCTCACGCGCAACTTGTCAGATTTGCCAGTCATGCAATATATTAAAATTTTAGAATGTTATATTCTAATTATCTCTTATGCCCAACTCCTCTAGATATGACGGCCTTTGTCTCGCTGGCCATCTTCGTGGCCGCAATGCTGACCATACTCAACATTTCCATATATTTGACAACTGTGTCGCGGCTGCGTCGTCATCTCAACAAGCCGCTCCTGATTCCCTCCATAGTGATGGTCAGCCTGTATCCGGTCATATCGGTGGCCGCCTTGGTCACCATACTGGTGCCGTATTCCTGGTTCATTTGCCACACTGTGATGCACGCCATGTTCATGGTAGGCGGACCCACTTTTCGCATGCTGCTCTTTCGCTATGTCGAATCGGAGCAGAACTATCTGAAGGAAACATCCGGCGAGCCGGTCGCACTGAATACACCGCCCTGCTGCTGCTGCTGCCTCTGCTTGCCCATGGTGGTGCCGACGAAGGCGAAGCTGTGCATCTCCCGCTACATGGTCTGGCAGATGCCCTTCTGGCAGGGCAGCATTATGCTGGTCATGAACATTCTCTACTATCGTGATCTAGAGCTGTACCATGAGGTGGTCTACTTCTTCATACCCTTCATCATCGCGTCCATTGTGCTGGGCGCCTGGTCGCTGCAGATCACGGTGCGCATGATCACCAAGCTCCATGGCGACTATCAGCTAAGGAAGAAGATGTTCTGCCTGCAGTTGGTTGTGCTGCTCTGCAAGTTGCAGTATTTGATACTCTACGAGCAGCTGAACTCCCTTAAGCTGGGCGGCGAATACCCCATCAATCATACAATTTACAAGCAGAGTAAGTGTATTAAGAGAGAGTGCAATTTAAGCATTTATTAACTTCTCTTCCATTTGTTCTGCAGCCATCATCAATATTCTGATACTGGTCGAAATGGTGCTTGTATCCATGTTGGCACAGAGCGCCTATCGCATACCCATTCAAGTGCAAATCGACGACTCGAATCGCAAGTGATCGAATTGCAAACTTTAGTTGGTTAGTGACACGAGTAGCAAAAGATTGTGATAATTTAATAAAGACAAATTAGATTAAAATAATATAGAGATGAAATTTAGAGAATAAATACATATTATTGATTGATGTGAAAATGAGAAGTGTATGGAGAGACAACAAATTTATTGAGACAAATAGCAATTTGGATAACCTGGAGCCATCTGCCGTCGTCTGATTTTCGGCAATAAAAAACTAATTTATGGCATTATAAACCGTAGTTTGTAAATATTAAGCAAAGTTATCTAGTTCACTTTAGTTGGATTTAGTAAACAATTCTTGTGCCCAGGCGGTGTCACAATTCCTAAGGCTGTAATTCAAACAAAATGGGTCGAATCTCAGTTGCCTTGTTGGCCGAATAGCCGACCACAAATCATGTGTTTTCCCGGGGTTTGCCTGGCTGGAGTCAGTGTCCAGCCCGGCTCAAGCTTGAGGGTTCCCAGGACACGCGTGTCGCGTTTAGCTCATAATTCTCAATGGCCTCAGGGGGCAGGAGCTGGAGCTGGGGCTGGGACTGGGGTTGGGGTTGGGGTTGCGCTTTACATTTTTCAGCAAAATTGTATGCGGCTTAGAGCGAATGCATAGGCGCCATAAAAATACAATAAATAAGTGTTGTTTTTTATTTTGTTTTGGCTAGATAGCCTTTTTCGGATAACTCAATTGCCGTCGTTGGGGCATAGCTGGGACTAGCCAGCAGGCGGACACAAGCGAGGAAAACAACAGCAGCAGCAGCAGCGGAGACAGCAACAACACCAACAACAAATGCGTGTTGCTGCGGCAGTGCGTTGAAATTTATGATTTATTTGAAAAGAAAGTACATTGTGCGCTGCCAAAATAAATCACATCGAAGACGCTGCCAGAGCGCTGGCAACAAGAAAAGAACGCCAGCGAACGAAAATCAAATAAATAATGTGAAACAGTGCAACAGCCGTTTCGGCCAGACACGCAGCGCTCATGCCCTAACGTAAATTAAGAGATGAAATTCAAACTTTAGCTTCATACTTTTCAGCTGAAAATATATTTTTGCTGCATACTTTTGTGCTGCACAGAAATAAAATGTGAAATTATATATATATTCAATTGCATACTTTCGCGCTGACATTTCATTTCAGCACAAAAGCAGGCAATTAAAAATATACAGATTTCCATGGCATACTTTCGTGCTGACAGCTTAATTCTGTTCAGCACAAAAGTATGGGATGGAAAATATACAGCTTTCACTCTACTCTCAGGCAATTCTCCTATTTCTTATGTGTTGCAAGCAGCTTGCCCGAACTGAAATGCCGCTCGAGAGTGTTTTATCGAGGTGCTCGTTTTTGGGCAGGAATAGGGCCACAACAGTCAAGTGCCTTGGTCGGTCGCTGTTATCTTATCGTGCTTTTATGATGTACACAACGCCGCAGAGCGCAGCTATGAAAAGCCTTTGCCAGCTAGCGCCTGCCCTAGTCTTCCTTTTCCCACAGTGCCTGGCATACTGACAGCTCTTGTGTCTGTCTACCTACTTATTTGGAGCGGAGCTGTCGGTTTTTATGAAGACGCTTGTTTACTTGGTCTTCGCCACGGAGTCGTCGAGCTGCCAGCCCTGTCTGGCCCTGCCAAGCGCTGGCCTGTCCTGGCAAGGCAAGTAAATCAGATTAAGTACCCGCTGCTCATTTTGATGAGTTGCAAGTGCCAACAACGGCCAACGAGAGGATGAACACGAGTACGCGGTACGCATCCAGATTAGGTGGCTGCGGGGTTGCAATTTTGTGCGGCTTTTTGATTTCAAATTGGATTTTTGCAACGGATATGTGTGCGCGTGCCACACACATCAGAGTGCAAAAAAAACTTAATTAAAATGCGCACAGCAATGTTATTTAAGCTATCGAATAAAGCAGCATATGTGCCTGCCTTTGTTGCGAGTTTTTCTTTCTTATTTGCTTGCAGCAAAATCAAACTAATTGCAAAAGGGGAAAAAACTGTATGAAACAAGGGAAGCTGCGAAGGGTTTGTAGCTACACCAAATAGATATTGTTAGCTTGAATAACTGTGCGAAGCTGTGTGCGAAGCTAAGGCCAATCAATACATAAATTAAGTTTTCCTTCTATAAAACATATTTTTTATGTCTGTATTTATATCAGAGTTTATCTGATTTGTAACTTTCCAACTTTAAAGATAAATCAAATACAAAAATTGTTTTTAGTTTTTGTTAACGCGATTTACGCTTTTGCTAACATTAATAAAATATTATAGCATACTTTGGTACTTTGGTTAGAGCAGGGGAACGAAGTGATAAAGCTCTTTTCAAATGCCAGCACGAAATAAGTTGGAGAAATGTTGACGCCCACTTGATGGCCGACGTCTGCTTCTGGCGCTGCGTCTGCTGCTGCTTCTTCTGCTGCTGGCAATGTCTACGCGGCTTGCGATGTCCAAACACGTTAGGCCATCAGCTGACACAACAGCAGACAAACAAGAATAGCAACAAACAAACGCAGAGGCTGTCAGACAGTGTCTTATGTCACTGTCCATTAGACGCCAAAGGAAGCCCCTCGCTCTCTCTTCCGGTTGGCTCTTTAAGCTGTTCATCGAATTGCTTGCGGCTGCCCGGGCCCGTCTCAATGCTGAAATAGAGGAATATTCATCGAATCGCTGTGGACCTAGGCTTAGTCCCAGGGCATGACTTATAAGAAAGATAAATTTCATGGCTGCTTGAGCGCGAAAACACTTAGACAAATTAAATAATGCGCATACGCCATGTTGTGCGACCGTTGAATTCAACTAATAGAAATTATAACACAATATTTGTCATTCACAGACAATTTAACAGATTCCACGATGATGCGCAACTTCTGCAGGCATTTTATGATTATTGACTTGAGTCGGCTTTCGTTTGTTTTTTTATGTTTTCTCGCTTCTTATTTTTATTTTTTTGCCGTTCTGTCTTATGTCTTATGGCTTTTGTTTGTTTCAGCATTTTGAGTATTTATGCCTGTTCTTTGTTTAGGGCTTTTGTTCCCTAATTCAATCGCTTGCTTCAGCTGTTCGCCCATTTCACTGGTGCTAAGTAAATAAGTTTTATGACCTTTTTTGCGCTCGTGCCGTGCGCTGGCAGCCTCGTAAAATTGCGAATGCCAGTGCCTTATGCTTGATTGATTTCATGCCAAACTTTGCCCTGATTTGACAAGGTTTTGATTTTTCCGCCTTCATACCGGCGCAATTGACACGCTCGAAGCTTTACGCTGTATTTGGTGTTTAGAAATTGTGAGCTTGCCGCCGCGGTTTTCTCTTTATTAATAATTTTTCTTGAAATAAAACTTTGTGAAGGATTGTTTTGTTTATTATAAGTATTTTTTAACCTTATTTCTAGCTGATGTCTGGCTTTGCAAGAGTTAGAGTTATAGTTAGGGCATATAGAATATGTACTAATTGCAATTGATGAGTAACTAAATTATATTTATGCATTTTATGTTCAGCTCTAGCTGTAATTTTCAATTAAAACTTGTGACCAGAAATGCGCTGCTGAAACTGTGACAGCCTGACGGAAATTTGCATTTTGCACACATTTGCTTTGATCAAATATACTCTATTCAAAAGTGAAACAAGTCTGATGGGCTTGTAGTAAATTATATGCGTTTACTGATGGGATGCATGTGCGATGCGTATTTTCATATAAGACTCAGCATTCAGTAAACTCCTTCTGCTAGCTTCTTCCCTGTGGCCTGCTCTGTAAGCAGAGTATGCTGCAGTCGTGAGTGGGCGAGTGCAAGGCCTTTACTTACTGGCTGCTGCTGTTTTTAAAATTAGGCAAACACGCTTTGTATCATTTAATTAAAAACTTTTTGGAGCGTTGACTTTTTCGGCCAAAGTCACAGCAGGCCACATATTTAAGCCAGCGGAGCCGCGCTGGCGCCTTAAATTAATTAATGCGCCGCTACGAGGCATAAGAAAAATATTTGTGCATGTTTTGGCATAATTAAACGGGGTTTTTCGTACACTCCAGTTAACAGAGAGCCAGCAGCGCCAAAGGTGAACTGAGTCTATGTTTTTCTTAAATTCGTCATGGATTGCTCGGCTTTAAGCGCAGTTTCAACTAAGCTAATATTAATGAAGCGCTAAGAAAATATTATGGCTCTTAGCTTAAATGAAAATTAATGTTAAATTAGAGCTCGTTTACGTTTAAAGCTAACTTCAAGCTCAACTGCAGCTAAAGTTAACTTCACGCTCGATTGGTCAACTGATGCGATACTTGACTGTGTCCCTCTCACTCTCTCTCTCTCTCTTTTTCTGCTGTTCTGCTCTTACGTATGGGATATAATCTTATAATTGTTTGCCTTTGTGGAGCTTATGTTATTGCTTATTAAGCTTACTTCTATAGGGTATGCAAGTTTGAAGCGAAGTTCGCCTTTACATGCCGTTTGTGTTGCTTTAAGCCAGTTGTCTGTGAGTGAGGGAATCGGAGGCCTGCTGTTCTTCGGGCCGGGCCTTATGCTGAGCACTCAGTTTAACAATGGCAAACAACTAAAGCGCTGCCAAATCCGCTTAAAGAGCATTTGTGTGTTACGGCAGCAGCAGCAGCAACAAAACCAAAACTGACTAAGCAAGCAGAGTGGCATTTGCTCGTGTTAAGGTAGCTTCTGGCTGGCTTCTGTTGCTGCACTGTGTTGCTTTTCTTTTTTGCTGTATTTGTTGTTTTTTCTGACACCTTGCCATTCCTACATTAGAGGATTTTGCATAAGTGACAAGCAGGCGAGGCAATGGAGCCACAGTCTCCTCGTCAGCTACATTCACATGCCCAGCCTTATCCACATTTCCATTCAAATCCAAAGCCATGTGGTGCCATGTGTGAGTGGCTCGACTAAAGCTCCAGGCTAATGCAGCCAGGCAGCCAGGCAGCCAGGCAGCCAGACAGGCATAAGACGTTGGTAACACGAAACGCTTGTCAAACGCTCCCCGGTGTAGGTCGGCGCCACATGCGTCAAGCCAATGGACAGTAGACGCATCGCGGGGCGAGAAATTCGGCTTGCAGTCTGCCTTTGGCCGCATTAAGATGCTCTCAAAGTTGCAAGCTAGATATACAAGTCGCAAACGACATTAATTATGCCCCACCTAGTTAGACTGCGGCATTTCCTGGCAGTATTCGTTGCAAATGGCGCTCCATGGCCACCACGAAGGCGT